GAGCGAGGTGGAGTGGCTGGTGGTGAGCCGCGGCTGGTGAGTTTGGGTGGTGGTGGGGGGGGGTTGTGGGTTCACGGGTGAGCGTGCGAGTGACGGAGCGAGTCGGTGGTGGACACGGACATTGACGGCTCTCCGGAGTGCCATCAGTCAACGCAGGCGCGGAATTGCTGCCGCCTTGTAAACACGGAGACACCGCGGCTCCCGCCACGCCGCCACGGCGGGTGGCCGACGAGGAGGGAGACGGGGAGGGGGGCAGAGTGGAGGAGGCAGTGGAGAGGCGGCCGTGATGGTGGGAGAGTGGGCGAGTGGGGGAGAGCACGTGGGAGAGATGGTGGGAGAGTGGGCGAGTGGGAGAGTGGCCGAGTGGGAGAGAGCGCGTGGGAGAGATGGTGGGAGAGTGGGCGAGTGGGAGAGTGGCCGAGTGGGCGAGTGGGAGAGTGGCCGAGTGGGAGAGATGGTGGGAGAGTGGGCGAGTGGCCGAGTGGGAGAGAGCGCGTGGGAGAGATGGTGGGAGAGTGGCGAGTGGGAGAGTGGCCGAGTGGGAGAGATGGTGGGAGAGTGGGCGAGTGGGAGAGAGCACGTGGGAGAGATGGTGGGAGAGTGGGCGAGAGCGCGTGGGAGAGAGAGGGGGGGACGTGGAATTAGAGAGGGAAGAGGGGAAGATGCGGACGAGAGGAGGTGAAGGGAGAAGCAGACGGGAGATCAGAGGAGGCTAAGAGTGCAGCATGCACTCACTAAATATACAACAGCCCCTCAGATGAACGTCACTCGTAGGAGGCTTTCGAGACCGATTTTATTCGTCGTGAAGTTTTCGGTTGGGGTTAGATCGCATAAAAGTGTCGTAAACCCCGTGTCTGCGTGGAGGTGGGTTTGCGACACATTTACATTTAAGCGATCTAACCAACAAAACATCCCTTAGACTGTCGGGGCAAGGGCTGTTAGCGAGCACCTATTGAGGGGGTGGGTGGCCAGAACCACGCCCGACCGCCTTTGTCTCCCCAGTGGGGATGTCTTTACACACCGCTCCACCAGGTACTCACCTGAGGCTGAGTCGACCTAGAGGAGACCCAGGACCGGTCCAGACAATCGTCATCTGTGTTGGTGGTCGTGAGCGGTAATCCAACTCGGCTCTCAACCGCGACACGACCGCTGCAAATACAAAGATCCCCCATGTAGCCTGCGCAGACTTGTGGGGCAAGTGCACGCATTCAAACGCATGCACGCATGCGATATGCACCACACAGATACACAAGACAAATGACCCCCGTGTAGCCCACGCGGTGCCTCGGGGGGAGGGATGAGGAGGGGGGCGGGGGGGACGAGACGGGCCGTCTGAGAGCCACGCTGAGAGTCGAATGTCTCTGCATGACAAACACCCCCCCCCTCTCCACCCCCACCTCTCCACCCCCCCCCTCTCCACCCCCCCTCTCTCCCCCACGCACTCCCCCCTCTCCCTCCTCCTTCATAGTCTCGAGACTCAGTGATGTTTTCCTGGTAAATGGGAAAGGAGCATCATCAACATCATCATTATTATTATTCTGTTGGTGCCCGCGGCTGCTATGTTTAGCGCGATGTCCGACGTTTCGGTTTCTGAAGCTCGCAGCTCGGTTACGACCCGGAAACGCGTCGAGAGGTGGAGATGATCACCGCACTCCACGTGTCACAGAGCACCCCAATGACACCAAAGACAAAGACCCCCGTGTAGCCTTAACAGATTGTCGGGGCAAGTGCTGTTAGCGAGCACCTATGAAGGCGGGAACGGGACACGACAGGGTGGGTGGCCAGCACCACGCCCGGCCGCCTTTGTCTCCCCAGTGGCGATGTCTACATACCGCACCAGGTACTCATTTGAGGCTGAGTCGACCTAGGGGAGGCCCGGTACCGGTTCGGATAATCGCTCACTGGTGTTAGTCGTGAGTGGGAATCGAACTCGGGTCCCAGGGGTTCGTAGCGCAGCTTCGCGCTAACCGCTACCACCGCCGCCACCACCACCACCGCATTCCCCGTTGTTTTCTCAGCGCCCCCTTTTGTTTTGACGAAGTCTGGCGACTGCCGGGGAGCCGAGGTCACGGAGAGGTCACGGAGAGGTCACGGCGAGGTCAGGAAGTTGGAGCCGCCTCCGCCAAGGAGCGGGAGGGCCACGTGACGCGTTATTGAATCGGCGCCCGCCACCCTTGAGCCAGGATGTCCTTAACACGTGGCACATTTTTTAAAATAAAATGTAAGAACGTAGAAATATTTTCATGGTTAGGGCTGTATTGATTGAATGGGCGATGGCTTTGATGTTTTATATATATATAAAGTACCCAGGGATGTTCTGCACGCTGAACACAAAATATACATATCATGTTTTGTAAGGATATCCGGCTCAGATTAGTTTGGTCGTGTCGGGGTTATCCAATGCCAAACATCCTAATCCCGGACCCTCCTCGCAGTCCTAAGACTCGCTGAGTCGAGGCTATCCTGAACAAATAAACGACCGATTATAATAATTACATTTACTAACTCCAACTGACTAAACATTATTTATTTGACCGGGTAAGGCCCACTGAACTATGCAGCTCTTTTTGGGAAGCGACCTGGCGAACAAATGATAGCTCAACGAAGTGACTCATCATCATAGCAGCCAAAGACTCTAAACGCGTGATGTTGATTCTAAATGTGGAGGGAAAAACTGGAGGACCCGCAGATAAATCCACGCGACCACGGGGAGAGAGACACCGCAAACTCCAAATATGCTGACGTCAGGGTTGGGATCGAACCCACAAACTCTTGTATACCAGGCGAGGTAGTTAACATCTCACCACCGCGGTGCCCGTACAAATTGATATTTGCTGAGCAGACACATCGAGTCGTCTACTTCAGACCCTCGCCTACACATACCTGCAGATGCCTCCGATGAATCTGTGATAATCGCAGGAAATGTGTAACGTGAAGATTTCACATCTCGGGAGTGCACGATCACAGGCGTTTTGGAGCTCGCTGAAGATCCGCGGACGCGACGATGCGCGACACGGGGAGAGGGAAAGGGTGATGGGGGGGGGGAATGTCAATAAGAAAAAAATCAAGAGAGAGAGAGAAGAGATAGAGAGATTACGAGGTGAGAGAAGAAAGGAGGGGAGTGGCAGAGAGAGAGAGAAAACGGTGACATGAAAGTATCGAGAGAGAAAGAGAAGCCGATAGAGATGAGAGAGCAGGGAGAGATGATAGCAATAGACCTGGAAAGGAGAGAGAGAGACGAGAACGAGAGGACACGGAGAGTAAAGAGGAGAGAGAGTGACCAGCTGAGCAGAGTGGAGCCACGAGGGGAGAGCCACGCGTGAACTCCGCGTGCCCCCCGGGGTCCGACACCCGCGGACTTTCCTGGCCGTCTCCCTCCCTCCTTCCCTCCGTGCGAGGTCAGGGGGCAGACGGGAGCGGGCAGGGAGAGTCTGCGGGAGCCTGGGGGGTGTGGGGAGCCCTGGGGAAGAGGTCTCTGGGGGTGAGGAGCCCCGCGGAGGAAGGGGATTGGAGCGTGGGGTCTGAAGATAACGCGACGGCATCTTGAATCTGGACATGAGTGGTCATCATCATTATTGTTGTGGGTGACCGATAGCCACACCCGTTGAAACGGAGCTCTTCGGTTTCATCTGGGGACCTGGGCGAGCGCCACTCGTGGCGAGATGTTAACTACCTCGCCTGGTATGCAGGAGGTCGTGGGTTCGATCCCGACCCTGACGATGCCTGCTGTATATTTGGAGTTTGCGTGTCTCCCTGCCCATGGCCGTGTTGATTTTTCTCCGGGTCCTCCGGTTTTTCCCTTCCACATTTAGAATCAACGTCACGCATTCCAAGTATTTGGCCGCTATAAATGTCCACGTGATGAGCCACTTCGTTGAGCTGTCATTTGTGGCCAGGTCGCTTCTGAAAAAGAGCTACATAGCTCAGTGGGGCCTAACATGGTAATATAAATATTTCTTAAAATAATTTAGAACGATGTTAGCGAGCACCTATTATTGCCAGCATGATGTTCTAACACCATCGCTACAACTTCTGCCACCATCGGCGCCGCCACTCTTGGCACCGCCACTTTACTCCACCAGCATCGGCGTCCTCATCATCACCATCATCACCACCACCACCATCATCACCATCATCACCACCATCACCACAACCGCTTTCAACACCACTCACACCAGCATCGTCATCATTACCACCACCATCACCACCGCCACACTAACCCAGTGGTATCGATTTCACCGTTTTGTTGCAGAGGTTCACGGTCGAATCCAGCAGTTGCCCCGATTAATACTGCGCGTTATTAAACGTGTACAAAAAATGCAATGCGCTGTCTGCTTCAAAGAGGACGTCCAAGATCGCGTGCCGTAATTCGCGAGAATTTGGCAAATGATAAAAAATGGCACTGATCATCGCGCCCTACCGCGCAAACACCTGGCAGGACCCTCCTGAAACAGAGTGACGAGACTCGGCGAGGCTTTCCCGGGTAAACGAGCGGAGTGATCATCGTCGTCGGTATAACCGCGAGCGCATCGGCGTAACCGCGACGGCCGTCGCCACCACCACCACCGATGCCAATCGTCACACGACACTGTGGGCTAAACATCTGTCGTGAAATATTCAGTCTTATATTTGAGGAATAAACACGGAACAAACTACGTGTGTACCCCGTATTGCAGAGGAAGACGTACAGCTGACCTGCTGATGACGTTCGTCAAAAACAAAAACGCCATAAAACGAGGAAGAAAAATCGACCGGAAATTGCAAAACGGAATTTGCGCGCGAGGACATCGCCTGGCGCACAGAGAATGAAACATGTTCCGGTTGCACTTCAAGGCGTGCGCATGTTTAATAACCTGCGTCGTCATCGAAGCGTTACGTTTTTCCGACGGCCACGTAATTCGTTTCTCTTCCCCCGCCTCCCGCCACACCGAACGTCTAAATAAGCAAAGCGAGAGTTTTGGGACCGCAGCTTCACTCACGGACGTGCCTCACGAGCCGTACAAAAGTCACATTTTTTATTATTTTGTTTCCTAAATATACAAGGCAAGTCGTATAAAATCTTTCAACACGTATTATTTTACAAAGAAAGGAATGGCGTAGGCACACTGACATTTTACAAACGCAAACACAGGTGGCCCGGTGCCTGGTGGGGATGGGCGCGTGTGTGTGTGGTGGTTTCGAACGGTGGTGGTAGTGGCTGGAGGCGGTTGTGCGTGTGTGCGTGTGTGTGCGTGCGTGTGTGGCGGTGCGTCAGGTGACGGCATGAATTAGGGAGGTCTGGCAGGAGGGGAGTGACGAATCTTAGGAGGGGGGGGGAATCTGAATCTTGATGCCAGATAATGGCTTCAAATTATTTTTGGGTGGGGGGGGGGCTTGGGGGGTAGCGGGTAGATTTTGGGGGGTGGGGTGATCGGTAAGGCGAAGGTTTGAGGAGCGAGCGGCTGCCTCCGGGCGTGGGAACGAGGCGACGTGGGGCTCGTGTCCCACACCGTCCATTATAAACAACAACAACGACGACGACGACGACAACGGTGGGCCGGGAGATTTGTAGCTCGGGAGTTCGGAGGTGGACAACGGCAGGAGGAGGAGTCGACCGGCGACGTCGCCACGCGACCGCCGCGGCGCCTCCGCTCGCCCCCTCACCCACAAACCCCCCCTCCCCCCCGCTCCTATGTTCGGCGACGTCTTCGCCCCCAGTGAGTGTTCCGTCGCCGGATTCTCATCGCTGTCACAGTCGTCGAGTTTAAGTTCTTTTAGCGTTTTCGCTTTCAACGAAAGTCAGTAAAATACATTTCGCCGAGTACATCGATTAAAAACGCCGCTCGCGAGCAACTGCAGTCCCGCTGGCGGCGGCGGCGCTCCCAACCCGCTGTGCGGAGGAGCCGGAGTCGCTATGTACAGCCGGCCGGCACGCCGGCGGAGGACGCTGGGGGAGGGGGGGGGGGGTTTCTGGGCCGCGGCGCTTGGGGTGGGGGCCGAGGAGGAGGTTGTCCTCGCACGCGGGGGTGCACGGTGCCCGGCAGCAGGTGCGGTTGGGTCACCGCGGTCGAGCAGGGCGCGCCGATCGCGCGCTTGGCTGGACCGGGTGGCGGACGCAGGGAGGTGGGGGGCGAAGGAGGCTTTGCAGAGGGGGTGGGGGGGTGTGGGGGGAGCCGCCGGCAGGGCGTCCGCGGTGCTAACCGCACGAGTGTCGTGGCAGGCGCCGCACTGCACAGATTCCACAGCGACATTCCACCTTCACGTTGCCGTGTTCAGCGTCAGCGCGGGGACGTTCCACCGCCACCCCTCCCCACCCCCGCCGGCCACCTCCCCCACAACCTCCAATTCCTTCCTCCGAGCGGCCGAATGGATTGTACTCAGAGCGGCGGCGCGCCTCACGCGTCTCAGCAACGTGAAGACGCGGCCGCGTGCGCGCGTCGTATTGCCGCCGATGCCGTTGACGCTGGAGTTGTTGTTGTTGTTGTTGTTGAAGCTGTCGTTGTTTGCTGTTGCTTTTGCTCCGGGCGATGGGTTTCACGTTCCCACTTGATCTGCCGCTAGGGCGGCCGCAGCGCGCGGTGCCGGCGCCGCTCCGGGTGCCGTCGGGGCGGGTCGCGCGCCAGCGGCAGCCGAGCGCGGCGGAGCGTCCCGGGAACCGTGAAGTCGCGAGTCTGTCGGTGCTGCCCATACCCTCCGCGTGCGTTCCACGCCGGCCTTTAAAAATAAAAAATTAAGTTAAAATAATTGTAACCAACAACTCCGACATGAGGACGCGTAAAATGAAAAAATATTACGAACAAAACCGCAAACGAAATCTGAGCCGGCCCGGATTCGAGCTGACTGTGGTTTTCTGAATGGTGGCGATGGTGGCGATGGTGGCGATGGTGGCGATGGTGGCGGCATTTACCGTCACCTCAAGACGGCGGGAACACGGCGGACGCTGAGGCTTGCGCCGTGGCGGTGGGAAGTCCTGAACCAAACGCACGCACACACACAAGCGCATGTACATACACGTATAAAGACAAAGATCCCCCGTATAGCCTTAACAGACTGTTGAGGCAAGTGCTGTTAGCGAGCACCTATGTAGGCCGGCACGGCACACGAGGGGGTGGGTGGTCAGCACCACGCCCGGCCGCCTTTGTCTCTCCAGTGGCGATGTTTACACACCGCACCAGGTACTCATTTGAGGCTGAGTCGACCTCGGGGAGGCCCACTACCCATTCAGATAATCGTGTCGGCCGTGAGCGGGAATCGAACTCTGGGGAAGGGGGGGAGGAGATGCGGCTCCGTACCGGTGTAGCGGTCGTACTGCGCCGACAGCAGCTGGTACCCCATGCCCACGTGGGCGTGGTGGTGCGTGTGCACGTGCCGCTGCGATGGCGGCGGCGACGCTGCGCACCGCTCCGCCTCCTTGTCCCTCTCGCCGGCGCCGCCGGCGCCGCCGCTGGAACCGCCGCCGCCCTTGTCCGCGTCGTGCACGCACTTGTCGCTCATCTGCCGGCGAGCGGGAGAGAACGATCGGCGCAACGATCGGCGGTGGCCGAGCGCACGGCTCTCGTTGCTCGCGGGAACGCGATCTAACCGGAGTAGGTGGCGGCGCCCGCCTGGCAGTCCCGGGGAGAGGTACACTGGACGTGGTGGGCCGTGCGCAGGAGTTTCGGATTGCCGGTGGATTGGAGCAGGTACGCGACTAGCGCGCTCGTCGTGTGGGCGCTCGTCGCGTGTCTTTGCGTGTGCCCACCTGCGTGCGCGTGCGTTTGCGCGTCAATGTGCGCGCGCACGGGTGTGTGCGTGCACGCGTGCGACGCGGCCGCTCCGGCGAGCCAGAGCAAGGCCAGGCGGAACTCCATCCATCACTCAATTAGCCGCGCCGGCACGTGCGGCTAATTTTGCCAAATCACAATTGAGCAAAAAAAAGAGAAAAACGTCCCCCAGGGCAGACGCGCGGTCGACGCCGTCCGTCATTCATCGCCGCCGTCTCCGAGGCCGCGTCAACGCCGCAATCGCGCGTCTGCCCGTCCGTCCTTCTGTCCATCTGTCCTCCCTTCTGTCCGTCCATCCGCGTGGTCCACTCATCCATCTGTCCAATCAGTCAGTCCATCTGCGCGTCAGCCCGTCCGTTTGTCAGTTCATCCATCCCAATGTTACGTTCTGTCTGTCTGTCCGCTGTTCCGTTTGCCTACCTGTCCGCCTGCCTGTCCAATGGTCTGTCCATCGATCATTTGTGCGTCCATCTGCATTCATCAGTCTATCCGATTATTCGTGGTTCCTTTCGTCCGTCCACCCATCCGCCCACCCGCCCGCCCGCCCGCCTCTCCGTCTACCCATCTGTCCCGCACCCTCTCGCCTTTCTCCGCCCGTGCGCCCGTCGGTCCGTGCGTGTGTCCGCGCCTGCTCACCACGCGAGGGCTGAGCGACGGCGAGCGGTTGCGGTAGTGCTTGGCGTGATGCTGCAGCAGCTCCAGCGCCTTCGTCTCCCCGCCAGGCACCGCGACGCCGACGCCGCCGACGCCGCCGGCGCCGCCCCCGCCGCCGGTGGCGGGCCTGCCCAGCCCGACCGGCGAGCCGCTGGGGCTGAGCGACGACGTCACCTTGTCGGGGTCCTCCCGCGAAATCCCGCCGCCGCCCCCACCGGCCGCGGCCGCGGCCGCCACGGCGGCGCTCGCCGTGAGCTTCCCGTAGCCCTGGTAGGGGAACCCCGGGGGGTAGTAGGCGCCTGCAGGGAGCGGGGCGGGAGGAGACGAGGCGAAGGGGAGAGCAGCAGAGGGATTGGTAACGAGGCGGGCGCAGGGGGCCGCGGGCGGGGACGGTCGTTGCGAGCTGGAGGCGGGCGACGGGCGCCTTTGATTTAAAAAAACGCGCCGTACAAATAAATAATGATAGGAACTGAAATAAACCATCCCACGCTTTAATTAACGTGGCAGAAAGGCACGCGTGCGGGGGCAGAGAGCGTCTCGGAAGCACCCTCTCCCTCCCTCCCTCTCCCTCCCTCTCCCTCCCTCCCTCCTTCTCCCTCTCGTCGGTGGGAACGCAACGCCGGCGGCGGCGCCGCCCGGGTCACCGCGACCACGATTATCGGTGGCAGTAGCAGAACGCTCGTGGGGGTTGAGCACTGCGGTGCCGCTGGCGCCGGGAGCCTCAACTATGCGCAGAGGAGCCGGCGAGGCCGCAGCGACTGCCGGCACCGTCGGGAGCGCTGCGTCGACCGCGTGAGCGCCGAACAACGCGCGGCGCAACACATCTGAGAGCATTCTAATAATTGATTCTGTATATTAGCAATAATTTTTTTTAAAGCAATTGCGATGCGCACGTGCGCGGGCCTCTCCTAAGTAGGCTCGGCCTTAAATGCGTACCTTGTGTGAAAGGTGGTGGGGACATCGCCATTGGGGAGACAAAGGCGGCCAGGAGTGCTGCTGGCCACCCACCCCCTCGTGTGCCGTGCCAGCCTTCATAGGTGCTACTCGCTAAGGGCGCTCGCCCCTACAGTCTGTTGCTGCCGTACGGGGGATCTTTGTGTGTGATCTTCCGCCTGGGTTCAATCGCAGGCTTCCATCTTCTAACCCCGATGTCACAGAGCCAACTCCGTCCCCTCCACCGACGCGATTCAATTAGAACCCCCACCCCACCCCCCTCCACCCCACCCCACCCCACCCCCCTCCACCCCACCCCCACCCCCCTCCACCCCACCCCCCCCTCCACCCCACCCCCCGACGTAAAACCCCCGGGCGACCGCGGCCGACGCGCCGGCCTCGACGCTCACCCTGGAAGCCGTGCAGCAGCATGGGCGTGGCGGAGAGGCCCCGGTAGGCCGGGTGTCCCGCGTCGTACACCTGCGCGTAGCCGTACGGCGACACATACTGCAGGTACGCCGCGTGCTGCGCCGCCGCCGCCGCTGCCGCCACCGCCGCCGCCTCGGAGCCCACGAGGACGCTGGGGCGGCCGTCGGCGGCCCTGGCCGGTGGCGGCTCCCGCCCGTCGCGGCCGTCGCGGCTCGTGCGGCCGTCGCGCCCGCCCGCCGCCGGCCCCGCCGCCGGCGTGGAGCGAGGATTGTCGGACGGGGTTGGGCATGAACCGGGCCTCCTCACCTCCCTGGAAGGGGCGGGGGGGAGGGGTGGTGGGGGAGAAGGGGGGGACGCGTCCCGTCCGTGCGTCAGTCGGGGAGGCGGTCGCTCGTCGTTCGCCCCCGGGAGCGCGACGCTTCGCCCGACGCGCCGACAGAAACCGCGCGGCGGTTCCCTTGCCTCGCTCGCGGCTCTCCGCTCGTCCCGAGCGCTGCGCTCTCCTTCGCCGCCGCGCCCGCACGAGTCGCTCTCGAGCGCGACCGCCACGCTCCCCCGCGGCCGTCTGCGCTCACGCGCGACCCCTCCGCTCCGCTCCACCGACCTGCCGACGTCGTCGCGGGCGGCGTTGATGACGGTGGCGCAGGGCGGCTTGGCGGGGCTGCCCTCTCGCCGGGGCGGCTGGCCGGGCGGTCCCGGGTCGCGGTCGCGCCGGTCCTCGCGCTCCTCGTGCTGCCGCGGGCCGTACGGGAACGACGACGCCGACGGCGCCGCGGACGCCGGCGCCCACGCCTTGCCCGCCGCACCGATCTGCTTGGCAACGCGCGCAGGACCGCGATTGGAACACATTGCCCCGGTCGTACGGGCCCCGTACTCTAGCCTGCGTCAATCCAGTGCCGTCAGAGCGCAATTCACCACACTCTGGGTCGGTGAAGGGTGAGTGCAGGGTCAGCTCAGATGTCACTCGCCACCGGTGCTGGCTACGGCAGAGTCGCCGAGTTAGTAGCGCCGCGTGCTAACGGCCGCACCACCGCTCGTCTCACGCTCACAACACCGAGACAGATACTCGCGTACACTCACACGCGCACAACAACAACAGGCGCTTGTGCCAGACTAGGTGCACTTCGAGGCCACGTGAAATGTCAAATGCTCATTGTCAGGGGGTCAGAGCAAAGGTGCACTCTGCTAGCCGCCCGAGTACGGCTCGTTGGTGAGCATCACTCCTGCACCTTACCCACGCCACGCACACACCAACTCACACACCAACTCACACACACACTCACACACACCAACTCACACACACAATCACACACACACACACACACCAACTCACACACACAATCACACACACACAATCACACACAGACACACACCAACTCACACACACAATCACACATACACCAACTCACACACACAATCACACACACAATCACACACACACCAACTCACACACACAATCACACACACCAACTCACACACACAATCACACACACCCAATACCTGCTTGTGGTGCTCCATTCCACCGTGCTTCCCGCTGTCCGCTCCGGGTTTAACCTCCTTGCGAGCACCGTCAACCGGCCTGCCTTGAAACTCCTCGTTGTGAAAGTCCATCTGCTGCTGATGCTGCTGCTGATGCTGCTGCTGCTGCAGCTGCTGTTGCTGCTGCTGGCTTTGCTGCTGATGTTGTTGATGATGATGCTGATGCTGACTATGCTGCTGATGCAACTGCTGCTGCTGATGCAGGTGCTGCTGTATCTGCTGCTGCTGAAGCTGCTGCTGATGCTGCTGCTGATGCTGCTGCTGCTGCATGGATGCAGCTGTGTCCAGCACTCTGCTCGGCACTCCGGACTGCACCATCTTCCCCATGTCCCGCTCCCCATCCTTGTCCTTCAGTTTCAAGTTCCCGGCACAACCACCGCCGCCGCCGCCGCCGGGGCCAGGGCTGGGGGTGGGCGAGCGGCTGTGCATCGTGGGGGTCGGCGTGCGGCCCACGGCAGCCGAGGGGACGGGCGGCTGGGACGGCGCCCGGGAGACGGTGGCCGAGGCGGGGGCCTTGTGGCGAGCGGATAGGCCCGGGTCGCGGTCTCCGTCCAGGCCGCCGCCGCCACCGGCCTCCAGCCTCCTCTCCCGCTCCAGCTCGCCGGGGCTCAGTTGCTGCAGGGGTGGGGTCCGCGTCGTCGCGTGGCCGGCAGGGAGGGGGTGGGGGGAGGGGTGGTGGTGGCGGTGACGAGGTCAGGGCTAGCGGCAAGGTGGTTTGACAGCATCATCCACTCGCTGCACTTGAGACACCCGTTAAGTCACGTTCCATGACCTGGATTTCAAGCTAGCGCCGACCTAAGTCGCTCGACGATTCCTTTACTCGCCCGGTAAAACACCCCTCACCTGACCAACAGAGACCCCCCCCCACCTGACCAGCAGAGACCCCCTCACCTGGGCAGCAGAGACCCCCTCACCTGGGCAACAGACACCCCCCTCACCTGACTCACAGAGACCCCCTCACCTGACCAACAGAGCCCCCCCCTTCACCTGGCCAGCAGAGACCTCCTCACCTGGCCAACAGAGACCCCCCTCACCTTGCCAACAGTGACCCCCCTCACCTGGCCAACAGTGACCCCCCCCCCCTCACCTGGTAGGTGATGCCCCTTTCGGATGCCGCGGCAGCGGCGGCCGCGGCCGCCAGCCGGTGCTGCTCCTGGTAGAATCGTTCGTAGTGGCGGTAGTTGGCGGAGTTGCCCAGCAGCTGCTGGTAGCCCTGCTCCACGTAGCCCAGGCCCGGGATGTAGGCGTAGTGCCCGTAGTACAGCGCCTGCGACGACCGCTGCTGCTGTTGCTGCTGCTGAATCACCGACTGCTGTTGCTGCTGCTGCTGCAAGTGCTGTTGGTGCTGCTGCTGCAAATGCTGCTGCTGCAAGTGGTGCTGCAGCTGCTGCTGCTGTTGCTGCTGCTGCTGCTGCAGGTGCTGGTGGTGAAGGTGCTGCTGCAGGTGCTGCTGCAGCTGCTGGTGCTGGTGGTGGCAGAACGTGAGGTCCGGCGCGCGTTTAGTCGCCTTCGCCTCCGCCGCGCTCTTCAGCGTCTCTTCCTCCTCGGGCTCCAGCTTCACCCGCACGGGGTGCGGACCCGCGACGACCTTGGGGTCCGGCGCTGCCGCCGGCGCCGTTCCTCCGCCGTTGCCGCCGTTGCCGCCCCCGGCCTTGCCGTAGCCGCCGCCGTCGCCGTAGAGCTGCCCGTACGTCGGGGCGGCGTCCGCGTCCTTCTTCAGCTGGGGCGGCGGGCGGTCGCGCGTCTCGGCGCCGCCGCCGCCCACCGTCTGCTCGCACGGCTGCCCCGCGATGGCGGCGGCGGCGGCAGCGGCGCCAGCGGGGCAGCCGGCGGAGGGTCCCGGAGGCGGCGGCGCCGTCCCCCGGACCCGACCGCCGTCCCCGGCGCCGCCGTCCGAGCCCACGTCCGAGATGTCCGAGTAGGCGGCGGGGCTGGCGGTGGTGGGTGCCGACTGCCTGTCCGCGTCCGCCTTCACCATCACCGGCGGTAGCGGCGGCGCGCACCGGTGCTCGCCGGGGCAACGCTGGGCGGCGGCAGGCGAGTCTTGCCCGGGGCCGGCCCCTCGGCCGTTCGCCGGTGACGCGATCGTGCCGACGAGGCCGATGCCGGCCTGGCGGCTGTTGCTGCTGCTGCTGCTGGGGATGAGGCTGCTGGTGCCGGTTGCTGCGGGGCGACACGGCCGTCTTGACGGGCGCGCCGGCGCAGCAAGCGATGGCGCCGATCGACGGGCTGGGCGCGTTGTCCGAGAAACTGTACACCTTGGCTGCCTCGGCCTTGATGCTCGCGAGTCCGGTTGACCTCGTGGGCCTCGCCCAGGCCGTTCACGAGGCCCTCCACCTTGGCCAGGTACTCTCCAGGGCACGCGGGGCCCGACGGGCCGGCTTCCCCGAGGGTTGGCGCCGGCCCCGCCGCCGCTGTCGCCGCCGCCGGCGCCAGCGGCGACGGCGTTCCCGCGGCCGCGACCGCGGTGGCCGCCACCGCCGCGTCCGACGTCTTGGGGCCTTCCGGCTCCTTGTCCCTGTCCTTCTTCTTCTTGTCTTTCTTCTTCTTGTCCTTGGACGACGAAGACGATGACGGCGCCGGCTGCTGCCCGAGCACGTCGAGGGGCTTGGGCTGGATGGGTTTGAGCGGGGGCCCCGCCGCGGGCGGCAGCGACGCGGGCGACAGGGAGGGCGGGAGCCCCGCCGGGCCGCCGCCCACGGGCGACTCGGGCGCCGTCGCGGGCAGCGGGGCGGCCGCCGCCGCGGACAGCGGCACGAGCTGGGGCGGCGGCAGCGCCGGCGCGATCGTCCGGACCGCCTTGGGCTTCGGCGAGGATTTGTCGTTCCGGCCGCCGCCTCCGCCGCCGCCGCCCTGCTTCTTGCCCCTGTCCCCCGGCTCGGCGGCTTTAACGGCGGCGCAGTTGGGCCGCCCCTCCATCTCCAGCTTGGGCATCTCGTGGCTCGTGTCGCCATCCGGCGACGCCTCCAGCGCCGCCGCGATGTTCGCGATCGCCGGGATCTCGTCGTTCTCCTCCGGCTCCTCCTTCCGCCTCGCGGACGCCTTGCCGTGGCCCGCCCGGCCCACCGGCGTCGCGGGGCCCTCCGGGCGGCCTCGCGACGCTTCCCTGCCACCTCCGCCCTTGGACGGAGACGAAGTCGGAGCGGCCCCCTTGGAAGCGGCGCCCGGGGGCCGCTCCTCGCCGTCCGACGCCTTCTCCTCGCTGTCGGCCTCGTCCTCGGCCCGGCTCTCGGGGTCGGAATGCGCGTGCGTCTGGTGGTAGCGCAGGCCGTTGGCGTTGCGGTAGCGCTTGTTGCATCTGGGGTGGGGGCAGTCGAGGAGGGCGGGGGACTGCGGCGGCCCCAGCGGGGTGCCGGGGCCCGCACCCTGCGGCGACGTCACCGGGGTGCCGCCCCCGGCCGCTTGTGACGCCGCCCCCCCAAAGCCGCCGCTGCCGCCAACGCCCGCTCCACCCTGAGCCGAGTTGGACCGCGACCGCTTGGCGCCGTTGCGGCCGTCCTCGGCGCCAGTCGACAGCTCCAGCTCGTTGGGCGGCTTCGCCTTCCTCTTGTTGCTGCCGCCGCCAGCGCCGGCACCGCCGGTGCCCGTCATCAGGCCGGCCTTGACGTCCTCGCCGGCGCTCTGGGGCGGCGTCCTGCGCCCGTTGGCCGTGCCGTTGACGGTCGCCTTGCGCCGGCTGCCGCTCGATCCGCCCGCACCTCCGTTGGAGCCTCCGCCGTTGCCCCCGGCGCCGCTGCCCCCGGCGCCGTTTCCCCCGCCGGCGCCGTTGCCGCCGTTGCCGCCGGCGCCTCCGTTTCCTCCGGCGCCGCCCCCCGCGCCCCCGTTCCCTCCCCCGCCGCCCCCTCCGCCGGCGCCGGTGCCACCTTTGCCCTTGCCGCCATTGGCGGCGCCGCTCCGGCAGGCGCCGTCCGCGGCGACGGCGCTCTCGTTCACCGGCGTGCTGGAGACGGAGCGGCCGCGCTTGGAGCGGCTGCGGTTGACGCGCACGTCCAGGTCGCTCGTGGGCGACTCGCAGAACCTGGGGCCCGGACGCGGGGAGAGCGACGGGTCAGTCGGCGTGTTTCGGTCGATCGTACGCGGTCGCCCGCTGTCTAACTTGGTGCCTTGTGCTTCATTTAACCGGGTGGCGGTCCCATTGGCAGTTTAACATGACGTGAGCTTTCGCGACCGATATTCGTCACATTTCTGGCAAAATCGCCTGATGAAGCTGTATGTCATTACCAGCAAAACGTGACAGTACTCAAAGGTAAATGTTGTGGGTTTATCCTTCAACACGCCGGTGTGCTGAAGTAGTAACTAGTTGGCATATTTTGTTTACGACACAAACGTTACTAATTGGCTGTGTCGGGTGGCGGTGGTTAAGGACATATTTATTATGGACAGTAGCGTTGTTAACTCTGCTTGTGCACCCACTGCCATCGCAGCAGCAGCAGCAGCAGAGCCATTACATTTTGCAAGAGAGGCCTGTGAGGTTCAGTTCTATACATATAGTTATTTCTGAGCAGGAAAAGTGTTCGTCAGTGTGTGTGTGCGTGCGTGTGTATATTTTTATGTACCGGGTCAACATTGCAAAAGACGCTCATGTCGTCTCAACGTCGCCTTGCTGCGCGGAAAAATTCAAGTGAAAATGTTACAATCCCTGGCTCGAGAGCACGCCGCCATTGCTGCCAACGCGAACCGCGACCACCATCCCTGCAGAGCGTTACCGACGACGACGACGATGACTTTGCAAAACGCCTCGCGCGGTAACCAGCGCGCCGAGCGTCGCGAGCTAAATCATTAAACCCCCCCCACCCCCCCCCCCCACCGGGCCAAGTCTAATTCAACTCGCAGTTTCGGTGTCAATGCCCCCCGACGAGTTTAAAGTAACGTGGGGCACATTGCGATGTTTAAACGGCGAAATGAAAGACGGGCGGGCGGAGGAAGCCATGTCGCCACGCTCACGGATTGCGGCGCTTTCTGCCGATGCTTTTATTCCTCGTCGCTCCGCGCGCCGACGTCTTTAATGAGATCAAAGCTCGCTCCGGGTTTCTCGTCTTCGCCGTAAATTGCAGCTCCACATTCATCGTGCACTGTCAGCAGTAACCTTTGAAGCGGCCCCCGTTAATTCATTTTTTTTGGAGTTCCTTCAATTTTTTTTTTATCTTCCGCGCGCACGGTTTTTCGGCGACGGGAGCGGTGATGTGGGGGGTAAGAGGTGGGGGGGGGGGGCGATGATGGTGGTGGGGACGCTGGTGGCATTGTATCGACCGCGCGGGGGTTGGGGATGCGGGGAGGGGGAAGTCAGCGACGGCGTTGTCATCTCGCGCCCGCCGGCGTGATGTCTCCTACAGTGGAGCGCCATCGTTCGCAAGGGCCCCGATGCAAGCGATTCATGGGGTGGAGGCGGGCGTCACCCTCTGTCTAATTACCCCGTCCCCTGGGTAGCCTGGGCGTCGGTGCAGCTGCACAGCCTCGCGCCCTCGATGGCTCGGCCATTAATTTGACATCCCCCAACGCCGGAGCGGCCGAATCCGTCGTTCAGGCTGAGGAGCAAAAAGAAGGTTTTGTCCCCCCGGCAAACATTTGTTTTGGTAGCCGTGTCGGCGTTCGCTGGGACCCGTCTAAGGTCTAACGTGAGCGCAACGTCCCGTGGCCCGGAGGCGACGGCTGAACGTTCGGTGTCGAACAAGTCCAGTGGACGGCGACACCGGCGATCAATCGACAAGGCGGCCGCGCGGGCCCAGCTCGGCGACGGTTTCTTCCATCGCTCTGCAAACCCGTGTCGCCGTTTCACGCCTCGGTGCGGCCGCTCAAACCGTGGGTGCTGGGAGTGCGGCCTCACCGGGGCGGCGCCCAGTCGTGCCGCGTGCAGTCCAGCAGCGTCCCCACGTACGTCTTGTTCCTCCACGTCACGTTCACCACCAGGATGCCTGCGCAGCAACGGTGGGGCGGGCACACGCACACAAGCACACACACGCAAACACGCGCGCGCGTTCACACGTGCGCGCGTACGAGCGGTCGACTCGGCCCACCGTCGTCCCTCCGCGGTCGGTGGGAATAATTTCACAAACCTACAGAACTTCCCTGTGGGCCGTGGGATGCGGTGCAGAGACGGCTTTTTTCGGGGAGGCGGAGACCAATACTAGGCAGCCAATCCCAACGGTTATGTGTGGCGCAAAACGCGGCAACGTGGAGCCAGCCGGAGCACTCGTCAAGGAATCGCGTGTCGAGCCAGGTGAGGGAGCTGCGTGCTTGGCGCGGCTTCCTCCGTGGCAGAAGTGAAACAAAGGAGCGGTGCACACATCCCACATTGAATTTTCTTAAAAAAAAAAGAAAATCTCCCCCTACCTCCCACCCGTCATAACAACGGGGTGCACCACTTTGAGAACAACGCCGCTGCTGCTGCAAATTCCAGACGGTGGCAGGAAACTGGAGACAACAATAAAAAAAACGGTGACCCAAAGAAAACAACTCCCCCACCACCCCCCACCGACATCTCCCCGTGACAATCCCAGCCGCTTTGTGAACCAACACCTCAAAACACAAAGAGCGCCTCTCATAAAAACACACACGAGCGCTATTACAGAGGGATTTCTGCGCGGGTGGGGGGGGAGAATCCCTTTTGGATGATGAGAGACGGCACAGGCGAGAGAGAGCGTGAGAGAGAGTAAGGGAGAGCGAGCGAGTGAAACAGCAGCGAGAGAGGGAGTGCGAGAGAGAGAGATTAAGTACACGAGACGGAAAGATCCGGCGAAAGAATAAGAGAGCGAGCGAGCGAGTCAACTAAACAATTTTTTTTTATCAGGTACGGCGCCACTGAGCTGTGTAACTCTTTTCCAGAAGCGACCTGGCCATCAGAAATGAGAGGTCAACGAAGTGGCTCATCATCACGTGGAGATGTACAGCAGCGAACTGCTCTGAATCCGCATCGATTCTAAATGTGGAGGGGGAAAACCGGAGGGCCCGAGGAAAAATCCACTCCAAAAACAGACATCGTCAGGGTCGGAATCAAACCCACGATCTCCTGTAGTATACTAGGCGAACCTCTCGCCACCGTGGCGAAAGAGCGAGTGAGAAATTGTGCGGTGAGTGAATGAGAGAGAGAGCGCGAGTGAGTGAGTGGGAGAGCGGGCGAGCGAGCGGGCGCAAGGAGGCGTCGCGGCTGAATTTCTCGGCGGCGCAGCAATAACACGAGGAAATGGTTTCCCTGCCGTGACCTGCCCAGGTTCTGTTTGTTATTAATGCGTAATGAGTGCTTCTTGGCCGCCTGCCAGCGGGTCTACTACGGGCTGAGCGCCAGCCACCACATCACCTCCCCACCTCCCCCGTGCCTCTCCTCTCCAGTTCGCCGCCACCTCCATCACTGCTACCCGCTCACTCCCTCGCTCCCTCCCTCCCTCTCCCCCATCCACCACCTTGCAGGCCGCCGCCGCCGCCAATCTCGGCTCCCTCCACCCCCTCCACGCCCCCCCCCTCCCCCCGCTCGTCGTCGTCTCAAGGGGCGAGCGCCGCGGATGAGAGGAGGGCGACCCCGCACCCCCACTCCCCACCCCCGCCCCCACCCCCGCCCTGTGCGTTCCGGAGCGCGACCCCAACGCGCGTGGTGGATTCCTCCTCTCATCTAAGCTGCTGCGTCCAAATTCTCCCGTCGCTCATCACGGCTCGTGGCCTTACGAGCGGGCGGGCGAGCGAGCGCGAACAAACGCGCACACACGTGTCCGCGTGTCCGTGTGGGTGTAATGTGATGGGTCGCCTTCAAGTGCACCTAACCTGGCACAAGCGCCGTGGTGACTATCACTGTGAATGGCGGTTGTTGTTGTTGTTGTAATGGGGAGCGGTGGCGTAGCAGTTAGCGCACCGCGCTACGACCCCCGTGACCCGAGTTCAACAAATAAAAGTGGAGGATATTTGAACAAGTCCTGACCCTCTGCCTCGGTCAGCTCGGCATCAAATGAATATCTGTTGCGGTGTGTAAACATCACCAGTAGGGAGACAAAGGCCGAGCGTGGTGCGGGCCACCCACCCCCTCGTGTGCCACGTCGGCCTTCTTAGGTGCTCACGAACAGCACTTGCCCGAAAAGTCTGCGAAAGACTATGGGGGGGGGAATATTTGTCTTTGTAATGCTTTGTGCGCACAAGACAAAGATCTCACGCGTAGCCTCTTGGGGAAAGTGCTGTTAGCGAGCACCTATGAAGGCCGGCAGGGCACACGAGGGGGTGGGTGGCCAGCACCACGCCCGGCCGCCTTTGTCTCCCAAGTGGCGATGTTTACACACTGCACCAGGTACTCATTTGAGGATGAGTCGACCTGGGGGGGAAGGTCAGGACAGCTTTGAATAATCGTCACCGGTGTTAGCCGTTTGCGGGAATCAAACTCGGTTCGCCGGGTTCGTAGAGCAGCGTGCTAACCACTGCGCCACCGCTCCCCACAGGCGCGCACGCGTGCACACGCACGTGCGTGGAAACGAGCACTCTCGTGGGAGCAGAGAGGGAGGCATGGTTTCGATGGGCGGGTGGGCGAGCGAGCGAGCGGGCGAGAGGGTGAGCGGCATTGTCTGAGAGATGGGGCCACATCTGGAGAAGCGGTCGTTGGTAATTTTTTATTTTAATTTCACAACGGGGCGGAGCGCCGTGGTCGAGGGCTGCGGCAGCTGTGCAGCTCCGCTGTCCGACGCGGACAGCAGTGAAAGAAAACACGGCCGTTGTGAAACACAAACGCGTGCGCGCACGGTGACGCGCACGGTGGTACGTGTGCGAAAGAGACGGGCGGAGAAAAGATGACGGTCCTGGGCAGGACGCGCGTCACGAAATGGGGACGAGCGGTGGTCGACGGGCAAGACGAACGACGGCGTGGCGGAGGAAGGACGGAACGCCGCGGAGACGGAGCTACGAAGTCGGCTCGAGTGCAGGTGTCGGGTGGATTTGAATATCCGGGGATGGAGATGACGACGGCTTGGGGAGGCTTTCATCCAGCATTGCGTGGATTTTGTCCGATAATGATGATGTTGATGATGATTTGCACAAAGACGAAGTTCCCCCCTGTATAGCCTTCCCGGCTGTTTGGAGTAAGCAAGTGCTGTTAGCGAGCACCTATTTAGGACTGGCACGACCCACAAGAGGGTGGTTGGCTAGAACCGCATCTGGCTGCATTTGTCTCCCCGCTTATGCTCACACAATGCGCCAGGCAGGTGCTAGTTTGAGGCCGAGTTGACCTAAGGGTGGCCCAAGACAGGTTCAGATTTTATATTATCACTTGCCAATGGTGCTTTCCGTGGTGGGGAATCAAACTCCGGTTGCCCGGCTTGAAGCGCAGTGCGCTAACCGCTGCGCCACCGCCCCCCCCCCCCCCCCCCCACCCCACAAAAGAGCTGCGTAACGCACACAACAGCAACAGGCACGTGACGTCACGACAGCGCTTGCGCCAGGCTAGGTGCCCTTTGAGGCCGTCAAGCGAAGTGTCGAAGGCTCGCTGACGGCAGGAGGTTACGGGACAGACCCAAGTGCCGTGGGTTGACTGAGCGAGATGACTTGCCGGATGCACCACCTGCGCTCCCTACCGTGCCAACATAAACGCGCACAGTGCGCTCACGCTGTCGGCACTGACGGAGAGTGGAGATCTATCTCCACCACCGCCGCTGCACCGGCACACAAAACCGGGCAGACGCGCGAGCCTGTCGGAACGCCCGACGCAAACCCACGCATCGCTCCGGCGATCCGCGCCGCTGTTATTGCCGCTGATGACGACGATGATGGAGACGTTGGCGCGTCGCCACTGAATACCGGGCGACTTGGGGCACGAGTCCAACACGCGAGATTTTACTGAGCATCGCCGCTTGCTCCCCCTCGACCGGACCGCAGGCCCCATCGGCTGACGGACCGACTACATACGCCCAGAGTAGCCAACACAATAAGTAATTGGCCAGAAGTTTCAGGCAACAGCCCTTCTTCAGGACGAACATATCGAGCGTTATTTTTGTTACTTCCACCTGTGCGCAATTTCCGAAGCAGCAGCAGCAGCAGGAGGATACGTCATATAGTCGTACTCATTACACACACAAAGTGCTTGCCACGAATGAACCAAACAATACCTCGCTGATTTTGTCGAGGAGCATAAACCACCACGGTCAGTCCTCGCAGCAGCAGCGGCGGCGGCAGCGGCTTTTGGCTCAGCCGTCGAACAAAGATGGCGGTCACCGCATCGCGCGGCGCGTTCGGACGTGCTTCTGCGGCCGTCTGGAACGCTCCTCCTTCCGATTTTAGGAAGTCACTGGAGCTGTGCACTTATAAATCATCTCGATTGAAAACTCATTTCTGTAAAACTGCGTTTTGCGTTTATTTTGTTGTCCTTCCCCCGCACCTCCGATGAGCACGGTTGGCTACGTAGGGTGCGAAAGAAGTTCAACGTAGGTACGTACGACGTATACACAGCACGCCCCGAGTGGAAACGCCACTTCGGAGTTCTAACACGGATCCCACTGCGTCGTTAACGCGCCCGACACATCGTCTGGAACCGGGTAATGACTGCCAATCAGGGAGCAGAAAAGCATGAATACGTTCGGCAGATTGAACAAAAAGGAGCTGAAATGGCAAACTCGTCGAAGGGGGTGATGGGCTGACTTTCATTAATTCCGAAAATAAATAAACATTATAAATTCATTTGCACTCAAGACCCTGGGTGCATAATGCGCTGCATGAACACGCACGCACGCACGTTTCACATCCGTGTGTTAATTCGCGGCACGGGGTGTGCGTGTTCCTTATTGCCGAAACCACCGACCACCAGCCCCTGCTTCTATCAACCATCAATAATTATAAATCACTCAACACACACAGCAAACACACACACACCCAATCACACACACACACATAGCAAACACACATTCACCCAATCAATCACAAACACACGCACACTGATAACACGCACACACTCACGCCACGTACAAAGACAAAGATCCCCTGTATAACCTCAACAGACGTTTGGGGCAAGTGCTATTAGCGAGCCCATATGACATGTTCGCACAAACACACGCACGCGTAGACACACACACACACACTCGGCCCGCAGTGTTTCCTGCCACGCCACCACCACCACCACCACCTGGCCTGACAGCCCCGAAGGGCATTGAGCGAAGCGAGACAAATAAAAATAACATAAAAAAACACCTCGTTCCAGAGTCGAGGCGCGAGATAGCAAGAGACACAGGACGGTGGCCACCGTGGAGAGATGGAGCCAGGGAGAGGGATTCCGCACTGGGCCGTGGAGCTGCTGCCGTATCGACCCTCGTCAAACGGAGGAGGGTCGCACCCTCATCCTCCTCTTCGTCGTCGTCGTCGTCCCTGCTGGAGCTGGAAAAGCTCTCTCCCTCGCGTCGACGTCCGAGCTAGCGTTCCCATTGGCGCCACCTCGACCAGAACGACATTCAACACCACCACCACCGCCGCGACCGTCGCCACAATTAGCCTCGCCGACCGGCTATACTTCAGTGCCGTCGCCGTCGCCACCGTCAACACCACCCTCGTGACCACCGCCGCCACCCCCGCTGCCCTCCATCACCATCAGCACCTCCCCCCCCATCGCCACCACCCCTCCGCTCCCCCCGGGGGACGGAGACTCCACCAGCCCCCCCCCCCTCCCCCGCTTGATTCATTAGGTGGCGAGTGGAGTCCATTATTGCGCCGTTATTTATTTGTGCGAGATTAATCCGGCCGCGTCGCCCCGCCCCGCGCAGCGCATTACTCATCCCACGGGCGCGCTGCGCCACCGCCAGCACCGCGGTGGCTGGGAGATGTTGACTACCTCGCCCGGTATACTGGAGGTCGCGGGTTCGATCCCAACCCTGACGATGCCTGCTGCATATTTGTGATTTGCAGTATCTCCCCGTGGTCAGGCGTGGCTTTATCTCCGGGTCCTACTCCGGTTTTTCCCCTCCACATTTAGAATCAACATCACGTGTTTAGAGTATTTGGCTGCTGCCATATATTTCCACGTGATGATGATGATGATAAGCCACTTCATTTTGTGGTAGTCAGGTCACTTCTGAAATATAGCTATGTAGCTCAGTGGGACCTTACGTGGCAAAATAAAAAGTTGTAGTTTATGGTTTTAACACCACAGCACAATGAGGGGCGGGTCGTGCGCGGTGGGGTAAAGTGTGGGTACTCCGGCCTCTGCCCAGGACGTGTACTGGGCAGCGTGAAAGGGGAGGTTAAGGGGTTCCCGAGAGCTTTCTCTCTCTCTCTTTCTGCAGGGCTGCGCCTGTACAGAGCTGTGCAGACGTGTCAACCCATCTCCTGTTGCCACAATGTACACTCAATGAGAGGAATCGTTATCATCATCAGCCATGGCAAGTCTCCTGCTGGATGCAGGCCGACACATCTATCCGTATTTCAAATCCCGCAATACCAAAAGCACAACTGAATAAAATAGGATAGGCTAAGAGAAGGCCTTCATCCAGCAGTGGATTGACAAAGTTACGCATTGTCCAGAAGGGCTGGAGAATTGGAACAGTGGTTTGCAATGCGATGCAATAGCAATCCAGGGTGAGCCGAATTCAAATCCTGGCCGCGGCAAATCCTGGTCATCAGTGGCAAGTGACATCTGAACCGGTCCCGGACCTCCCCGCCTGACCAACCGGCAACTAACCAGCGTGGTAAAGTATGGTCGTACAACCCCGATGGCCAATGCAGACGAGGTGCATCCAACGGTTCAGGCTGAGTCGACCTACAGGCGGCCCAGGCTCGGTTCTGGTAATCGTCAACGATGTTGGTGGCGGTGGCCACAAGCGGGAATCGAACCCGGGTCTCTGCGTGGTTGGTTCGTAGCGCAGCGCTCACCGCTCACGGAGCTCACTGGCCCTGGCCGCAACCGCTCCGTGAACGTTTGTTAACGGCGAAGCTTTCGTTCGGGTGATTTTATTTTTTATTTTCCTGTGCGAGCGCTAACGCAATTTGCGCGTTGACGCGCGCCTAACAAAGCCGCGCAATTACCGCGCGGGGTGGGGGGCTGTGGGGGGCTGTGGGGGGGGGGCGGTTTCCAGCGCGCCTCCCGCAAATCTAATTGCGCCGTATCTCTCTACCGGCTGGATATTAAACCTCTCAGAAATCCATCTGCGCTCGGCGCGGTCAAAAAACAATATCTGCCTTACGACAAAAAAAAATCATTTCATATTTATTATGCATTCGTTTCTTTCATTATTATTATTTTAATTCCGCCTTCCGCCTTCCTCTATTTATCCTCTCCACGGACCTAATGACCTCGGCAAATCGCTCCGTAATTGACGGACTGCGCCTACCCCGGCATTATCCCCCCCCCCCCCCCGGTCCCATTGGGGCCCCCCGATCTCTGCCTCTCTTGCCGCGGACACGGTCCCATGGGGGGGGGGGGTGGTGGGGGGGGAGCGCCGTGTTTACGATCCGCGCGATTTCCCGCACCGCCGACTACCCGGCCCGGCGTCCGTAACCGCCGCGCTCTCTTCCCTCGTCGTGACGGCGACGCTCTCCAATAATTTCCTCTCCTTTTTCCTCTCCCTCCGAAACTCCCTTCTCACTTCCTGCCCCTTATCACCCCGTCGCTCGGCACTGCCACCGTTCCCCCCGGCGGTCGGCGACCGACCGCCGTTCGCGCGGCAAAAGCTACAGCCGTCAAGGATTCTGTTCCTCTGTGTGGTCGACAAAGAACGTCGCGGCTATCGTTGTCAGCGAGCACCGACCAAGAGCTGCATGCGCCGCACGTGGGGGTGGTGTGGCCAGAGCCACGCCTGCTTGGCTTTGTCTCCCCAGCGATGGTGAAAGACACCGCACCGTCTACTCACTCCGAGGCCACTCGCCGACTCGTGTCGGCCGTGGCCGGGAACCAAACTCAGTCACCGGGTTCATAATGCAGCGCGCTAACCGCGATGCCGCTGCTCCCCACAACACACAACGCGCGTGCAAATGAACAGAGACAAAGACATCCACACACACCCATTCACACGGATACGCCCGCTCACGCGCGCTCGCTCGCTCACGCACCGCTCAGCGTTTGAACGCCGCCCAGGGTTGTGTCGGCGGCGAGGATCGTGAAAATGAATCGATCGGCCGCTTGCCCCGCTCGCCGCGGCACTAATTCAGTCGATGCGTTATTAACGAGCGCGGTCGGTCGTTATCGAGGGGGCGACTCGCTCCGTCGTCGCGGTCCCTCCACCGCGCTCGCTCGTTCTGCTTGCAGGTGCGACGGTGTCACGCCCGCCTGCCCGCCCGCCTGCCTGCCCGCCCGCCTGCTCCCCCGCTCCCCTGCCCGCTCGCTCCCCCGCTGCCTTGCCCGCCCCCCCTGCCCGCCCGCCTGCCCGCCTGCTCCCCCGCTCCCCCGCCCGCCCGCTCGTGTGGGAAAGGAAGTCCAGTTCCAGTGGCTTCTCTGCTCGCGCGCTCGCACGCTCGCACGCGGCCCGCCCCGCAATGGCTCGGGGCCCGAGCCGCGCCCGCGATTTTAATTCCTGAAACGACTGCAACGCACATTCCCCGCACCTTGGCACGGGAGTTGTTATTCTTTCCTTGGCGGTCGCCAGCGAAAATAAAACAAAGCCGAGCGACGGATTCTCCGAATGCGCCGGGGTCGTACGTGTGGTAAATAAAGAATGTTACCCCCTACACCACCCCCCCCCTCAAGACCCCCTCCCCACAGAATCCCTCCCCTGCACCCCCACCCATCTCCCCACCAAGACCGATGGAGTGGACGAGGAGGAGGAGAAGCATGAGAGCAGAGAGGAGTGACAGCGAAGCATCAACAACAGATGGGTTACGATGGCAATCACCAGCCGGTGGTGGTGGAAGCGGTGAGCGGACCGAGTGGCCTCCGTAGCAGCGGGGCTGGACGGGAGAAAGCGGAGGAATAAGAGCCCCCCACCCTTTCCCCCCCCCACGACCCCTTCCACACCTCCCACAGAAAAGTCAGCAAAGACGAATCCAGTCAACTTTTCCACGGTGAGTTTTCGGTGGGAAATACGAGGCTGGAACATCGGCAAACCGCCGACCAAACACATCAGCAGCGGCTCGGCGCGGTGTGGAAAAACACACGGCAGTGGTGAGCGGCGCACCGCACGGCGGAACGCACCACCCCGGCCACCTGCATGCTCGGATTTCCCTCCCAACGAGCCCCACGGACCTCGAAACCCTCGCAGTCTTCTGCAACCCCCACCCCCCACAACCCACCCCCCACAACCCACCCCCCACAACCCACTCACTGTTCCATTTCGTGGCTCCTTCGCGCGTTGCTCTTCCTGCCACGCTGCCCTCCCCCCACCCCGCCCCCGCCCCCACCCCCACCCCTCCCCCACCACCCCACATCCTTCCCATCCTCCTACTCCGCACCCCCAACAACACTCTGGCTCGTTCACCCCCTTTCCCACCGCCGCCACCGCCGCGGCACGCAAGCGAAGCTCACCTCCGTGCGTCTCGTGCCACACGATGCCCTCGAGGCTCACGCTGGTGCCCGGCTCGCAGGGCCCGAGGCTCTCGGGCTCCGTCAGGGTCCCCGCCTCGCACGTGTTGACGCCGACGGAGCGGCGCCGGCCAGAGGCGGCCGCTGACGACGCCACCGCGGGCGCCGGCGAAACTCCCTGCAGCCCCGGCAGCCCCGACAGCCCCGGCGCTATCGTCGATCCGGCTGCTGCCCCCGCCGACGCCGGCGTCGCCGTGGCGGCGCCGGGATTCGCGGCGCCGCCGCCGGATCCGGACGTCGTAGCCGCCGAAACCTCGTCAGCGTCCTCGTCGGGTGCCTCGACTTTGACCTCCGACCCCCGCGCAGGGGTCAGCGTCGGGGTCGCCGCGGGGCATGGGGTCGCGGGGGGCGGCTTGCCCTGAGCCCCCTGCGCCGCCGAGAGCACCAGCGTCGTGGGTAATGAGGGCGACGAGGAGCACAGAGACGACGATGACGACGATGACGACGAGGACGACGAGGACGACGAGGATGACGACGACGACGAAGCGGTGGAGGCCGGGAGCCCGAGGTCAACCTGAGGAACAGGGGCCAGAGGAAGGTGTCAGCGATTTTAATCCAATCGATCACTCAAGCGATCAGTCAATCGTCTCTACCAGCACGCTGCAGGTCACAACACGCCCACCCACCCACCCACTCACCAACTCAATCACCCACTCACTCGCTCGCCACACGAGATAACAACGCTTCTCTTTCTGCTTCTTCCCACACACTGCTCCACTCTGGGATTCCCTGAAATCACCATCGCCGGCATCTCTCTTTCATAAGAACCGTTGCTCAATTCATGGGCCAGTGCTCAGAATCTTACGTAAAAAAAAAAAGTCAGGAAATCAATCAATCAAGCAATCACCAAATCAATGAAGTAATCAAATGATCAAACCCACTCAAATCATCTCGGATATCGACTGAGGCGGACACTTCAAGCGGCGCACCCATCTCAGCGAAATGTAAAACCGAGATATGCGACAGATTTAGCCGGCGTTTGACAAAATTAAATCCTCTGCCTCGCGTCCGTCCGTCCGTCCGTCGGTAGCGCTCACATCGCAACGCGGGCGTCTTCAGAGCGCCTGGCCGCCACAGTAAAACATATTGAACGAGGCCGTAGCTTCTTTTTCCTGCTTCGTCCTTTAATTTGTGTCCCCGCGTGGCCTCCGCTCCGAGCGAGAGGCTCCTTGAGTCGCCGCCCACCGAGTAGGAGAGGCAACGAAGGACTTTGGACCGCGATGGCCTTTTGCCCCGTGGCGTCCTAGCGGCGGCACGGCGAGCGTCGTCCGCGTCGCGCCTGCCATCCCGGTTACGTCGTCGGCCGAATCGTTCCGAGCGTTGCCGAGGATGCGCCTGCCCGGCAGCTGCGGGCCCACCACTACGAGGAATTTTTTTTTTACTTTTACTTACGGACTTGCTACTCATTACGACGTGAAAAACCGGAAGGAAGCGATCGACGATTGATTTTCCAGGGTTAGGCCATGGAACACTCTGGGCCAAATTTGTGTAGAAAGACCCTCCACCACCCGACCGACGCAGCCGAATGAGTGTAATCGTCACGTGGCGTGTAGTTGTTTTTTAAACGCGCCAATTATTACCGATTCAGTTCGCCGTTTAGTTGATAATACGCTGGAAAATCGGATATTACACACGGTCCTTCAGTCACCCCAACTCCCTCTCTCATTCAGCCAGGTCGCAGGGCAGCAAATAAAATGTGAACATTACCCAATGTTCAATTTGGATTTTTAATCACAAAGAGTTTTTTTGTTGTTGTAATTTATTTCACCAAGGGCTGTGGACCCTGGACAGGCAAGCCTAGGCCTGGACAGCCAAGGCAAGGCCTGAGCAGCCAAGACAAAGGCCGGCTGCTCGCCTCAATAAAACAATCGTCCAGACTTTAGATCGAGCCGCAAGCAGAGGTTACACGTACACGCGCGCACACACGCGCAGAATGGCGAAGGGCCTATTAAGGGTCAGATACGGCACGCGAGGGAGATGCAGGTCTTCTACCATGAAGATAAAGATCCACCGTGTAGTCATACCGACCGTTGGGGCAAGTGCTGTTAGCGAGAGCCTGTTAAGGCCCTTAAAAAGATGGGGTTGCTGTAGAAAGCACCACGCCCAGCCGCCTTCATCTCCCCAGTATCAAAGTCTACACACTGCACCAGGCACTCATTGCAGGCCGAGTTGAGCTCGACATCGGGGGGTCCCTAGGGTCAGTTCAGGTATCACTCGCAACTGATGTTAGCCATCACTGGGAATCACACCCAGGTGTCCAGCATTGCAGCGCAGTGCCCTAACCACCGCACCACTGGTCCGAAGGACAAGCACTTACACACGCGCACGTGAACACAACCACCACGCACTCGTGCACGCACACAAACGACTAATGCAGGCGATTTCACACACGGCTCCCTTGGCGCTCAGATAACTTAACGGCAGCCCCTTACACGGCTCCATTAAAAACCCACAGCTCCCGTTACAGCCGCCCTCCCTCCTCCTTCCGTTAGCCCCCCACCCACCCCCGCCGTCTCCACTGCTACCCTCCCCTCCGCGTGGCCGCGCTGCTTGCCGGCAGGGAGCTCTAGCTGCCGTCACGATAAGCCACCGCCAAACTTGAGCGCTCGCCAGATGGGGGCGGCGGGGGGTGGGCGAGGGGTGGGGGCGGCAGGGGGGAGGCAGCGTCAACAGCGGTGGCACACGCACACGCGCACACGTGCACGAGCACACGTGCACGCAAAAAAAAAGCCATGAAACAGAATTAAATAAGATCCAAGAGAGGGAAGAGGCCAGTTCGCCCCGTTTGAAGGCAACAGGGGATGGTCTTGAAGTGGCGCCGGCGGTGTGTCAAGACCGGCCTCTGTTCGTGAAGGACGCCACTGGGCAATTGGAGGCAGCCGCCCTCCAGCAACAACAGCGGAAGGAGCCCACAACAGCAGCAAGTTGGCACAGAAGGGAGCACAGGTGGTGCATTCGCCAGTCAGTCGACCCGTGGCAGCCGGGTCTGTCCTGTGACCTCCTGCCAGCAGCGAGCCCTTCCACACACCACGTGGCCTTTTGCTGATACGGCAAAGCGCCGTGCACTCTCTCGTGGCGCTCTACTAAAGGGGGGGGCGTCGTTCGCTTTGACGGAGTCCTGTTACGGCGACCGCCGTTAGATCCCATTGAGGTATCTGAGCTAAAGTGACCCGCGTTCGCTTTCACGGGTGTATTCATGAAAGCAAACGAGAGTTTGCTCCGGCAAGACACTGCTCAGTACTGAAGGTGAGGTTGGTGCTTCACGCCAGGATGACGCTTTAAAAAAGAAAAACCCATATCGTCTCAAAAGCTCTAAAGAATCAAAAGCCTTTCCAAAAACGGTATTCCACTGGAGGCAACCGGGTGGCCGGGTGGGCTTAAAGGTCAGAGCGCCGAGCCGGAACCTCCGAGATCTTGAGTTCGACTCTGGGTTTCAGCCGCCGCACGCGATTCAACTAGAAACTATTTTAGCATTTTACCACGTAAGTCTCACTGAGCTATGTAGCTCTTTTTCAGAAGTGACCTGGCTACAAATGATAGCTCAACGAAGTGGCTTATCACGTGGAAATATATAGCAGACAAATACTCTCAATGCGTGACGTTGATTCTAAATGTCGAGGGGAAAAACCGGAGGACCCCGAGAAAAATCCACGCAACCACGGGGAGAGAGAGACACCGCAAACTCCAAATATACAGCAGCAGGTGACAGGGTCGGGATCAAAAACCACGACCTCCTGTATACCAGGCGAGGTAGGCAACATCTCGCCACCAAGCTGGCGATCTCAGCCCGGCAGGGCAAAATCAAATCTCACGCTCGGCGCACAACGCGCCGTCGAGCTGCGCGCGTAACAACCAAACAACGCGCAAGCGAATCGTGCGCTTCTCCCACCGTCGCCTGCCGGCATCGCCGCCGCCGTCGTTACGCTGCGAGCGCTCCCGACCGGCCACGGCGCGGACAGAGCGCCATCCGGATAACATCACGGGGTTGTGGGTTGCCAAAAAGACGCACACACACAGACAGAAGACGTACTGTTCTAAAAACGCCTCTCCGCCGGTGTTTTTCAGTAGCGGATCGGAACGCGCCGAGACGTTCCTGCTGTGAGGCGACGTGCGCTCCTTTCAGGGGTGGGGGGGGCGACGTCCCGCCAGGTGCGGCGAGCGGACTCGGCGGACCGAGATCGCGAGACGCCACCGCCGACATGAGCGTGCTATTGTCTGCGACGCACCTGGCTCGCGAGGGTCGCTCGAAGTAAAAAAGAAAAGACGTAAATATAAAAAATAATAATAGTCACCATAATAAAAGGTAAAAATGTATTAAAGAAACCCTCGCACAAGCCGCGGATTCCATCGCGGACATTTTCCTCGATCGCGCCAGGTGCCCCCAGCCCTCCCCCAGCCCTCCCCAGCCCTCCTCCAGCCCTCCCCAGCCCTCCTCCAGCTCTCAGCAGCAGCAGCAGCAGCTACTGCTGCTGCTGAGAGGCAGTAGTGTCAGCGACCGCCTATTGTCAGGGCGTCATCTCAGCGGACTTCGTCCCGAGTCGACGGGCCAGGGGAATTATTTCCACAGCCGCGATTCACCACATCCGCGATACCTTGCGGCTCTCGCCGCGGATACGAGTCGCCTTCCGCCCACACTGGCCTGGCCCCGTGGGTGCCCCTTACCCGAGCTCCCTCACCCCCCCCGGGCTGACCAGCGCGGTGAAGTATGGTCAAACGACCCTTCGTGGCCAACTCGGCGTGGTGGGGGAGGGTTTTGTCCGGCAGGAGACATCGATCGCTACCGGCGATTGCCGTGGCCGGGAATCGAACTCGGCTGCGCACGGCTTCACAGAGCGAGCGTGCGCCCATCGCCGCGCCGATTGCCGCGCCACCCCTCCGGCACCGTTCATTATCGCGCGTTGATATTTCGCGCCGCGCTCCCTTTGTTTGCGCCTCTGGGCTCCCAGCTGCCGCGGGATGCGGCGTACAAACGTGCGGGGCCCCTGCACGCATGGGCAGACGTGCGCGCAATGTGCGTCCGTCCCGTAGTACGAACGGCGGACGTGAAATAGCTTTCCGGGACGTTCCGTTCGATCGGCTGCTCTCGCATAACCGGCCCAGCACAGGCTGCGGCTGATAGATGGATAGTGAGTGGGACGGAGAGACAGGGAAAGAGAGAGGGGTGGACAAGCACAGGGGCAAAACACAGCAAGATAGATATATAGATGAATACGGAGATGGGCCGAGTAATATTCGAGACGTGGAGAGACAGAGAGACGGGCGAATATAAATGTTGACAAAAACAGACACGGAGAGATATGGGGCTCAGAGCTTGACAAAGAGAGAGAGAGGGACATGGATGGGAATTCAAATACAGAGAGAGAGAGACACAGCGAGACACCGAGGGAGAACAAAAAGACACAAAAGAGGCCGATGTGGGAGAGCGCAGCATGCCGCGCGCTAAAGAGTGCGAGAGAGGGGCAGAGGCAGAGACACGGAGGGGAGCGGAGATGCAAGTCAGATCGTGTCTACGCACACACGCAGCCGCGCATATATTTTTAATTTCACAAACGTAAGAGAAGTGCCCTTGTGAGGACATCGAAGAGCAGCGAGAGAGAGCGAGCGAGCGAGAGAGAGCGAGAGAGAGTGTGCGCGAGCGAGCGAGCGAGCGGAAACACTTAGTATGTGAGCGGCGTGCGTGCACGCGAGCTGTCGCACTCGCTCAGAGAGAGGAGGAGAGACGGTGCGGCGCGGCGGCGGGGATGACAGAGGGGGTGGGAGTGATGATGGCGGTGGTGGTGGTAGTCGTGGTGGTGGCTGTGTTAGTGGCGGTGGAAGAGGGAAAGAGTCAAGGGAGACGGTGGGGGTTGGAAGGGTAAGTGTGGGCTTCCACATGTTTGGCACGAGTAGTGGCTGTGGTTGTGGAGGTGCTGGCGTTGCTGGTGGTGCGGAGGATCGTGCCCCTCCAAGAGACCTTTAACGAGCGCTGTGCGATGATCCGCTTCGATCTCGTGACACGACCCGGAGAGCCACCCTCTCCGAGGGCGCACAGGGCCCACCCTAGCGCCGGTTTTGCGCGAACGGCGAGAAATCCAACCCAGGGCGTGAGATCGGAGCTCACCGGGCCGGTATCGATTCACCCACCGATCAGTTAGAAGCTGTAAAAACCGAGGGCAAAAGTCAGACTGAGGTCCAAAGGGACAAATGAAGCGGAAGCGCGAGGCCCGGAACCGGCGGGGGGACCGTGCAAGCGGGAGGGAGAAACCGGAGACAAAGAAAACACGTCCCCCGTTCTCGAATCAAATCGCGATTAAAATATTTTTTATTTTACCAGGTAAGGCGCCACTGAGCGATGCAGGTCTTGTTCAGAAGTGACCTGGCCCCAAACGATAGCTCAACCAAGTGGCTTATCAGCGAGTGAAAATTCAAAGCAGCCAAACACTCTAAATGCGTGAAGTTGATTCTACTTGTCTGGGGAAAAACCAGAGGACCCGGAGAAAAATCCACACGACCATGGGCAGAGAGACACGCAAACTCCAAATATACAGCAGGCATCGTCAGGGTCGGAATGGAACCCACGACCTCCTGTATACCAGGCGAGGTAGTTAATATCTCGCCACTGCGGCGCCCCGAAGCGGCTCATCGGAATCGACGCCAACCCATCCACCCCCTACCCCCCCGAGCGTTTTGTCTCTCTCGTGCGGCGCCAACGCTGCTCCGTGTCCGAGGGCTCCTCGCTCGTCACCGCGCTCGTCCTGCTGGCGTGTGGCGCTCGCGGTTCTCGGTGTTGCGTTTTAGTTTTTATAAAAATTCTATGTTAAATGTGACTTTGGTAAAAAAAAAATGTCCCTCTCTTTCCCATCGATTGGAGCGGCCTAAATCAATCCGCTCATTAAAGTGTGATTCATCCCATCAGCGAGCCGCCGGCACGGTGCTCCACCCGCCCGCCCGCCCGCCCGCCCACTGAGCATCACATCTCCATCTCACGTACCGCGCACGCACGCACGCGTATTTATACATAAAACGCCACGGAGGCCGCCCCGGGGAATCACTTATACGCCGCGACGTCGCGGAACAAATCTTCCGGGCACCCAATTACGGCATTCGGGGGGGTTTAAAACCAACAAAACACCTGCCAGCAATCACGGCTGTCAGCCCCAGCGCCGGCCCCACCGTCTCCCCGCCCGCTGGTGCCGGTGGCCGATCCATCTTGGCCCCGCCGCGGCGGCGACGGCGGCCGCGGCAGAATCGGATTTTTTTAAATGTATACTGGAGGAAATCCGATGAGCGACGAAGCTGTTTTTCACAGATGTCCAGGACATCGCGCTAGCGGCCGGCTCGACGGCCGAATGGCAAACCGCGGGGGGTTATTCTCTAAAAGTGTTAGCGTTGAGAGCGGGGGTTTGTCTCATGCCTGAATTTCTTGTTCGTTAGCTTATGTCCTCCGCAGTATAATTCCCACTGCGCAATCGGCGTCACGTCACGAGATGAAGAATCCATTGGGAAATCTTTTCAGCGCAGCACAACACCCTCCGTGTGTTCGAGAAGCGGAGATCACAGAACGACTTCTGAGATCCCGCCCAGTGACCTCTTGTTCACACGCAGCACGGTCTTACACGCGTTGCTACAGGGACATTTGTAAGCGAAAGGGATGTAGCTTTTAAACTTCGCAGAGCTGACATTGAGCCAGCAATAAACCAAATTAAATGCGTTGGTTTTTCTGTGCAGTATGTATGTTGAACTTCTTTTGCACCGTACGTGGTGGCCAACCATGCTAATCGGTGGTGCAGTGGTTGGTGACTGGGCCGAGACCCGAATCTCGCTACACTCGGGAACTGGGTTTAATCATGGGCGGCTGAAACCCGGATTCGAACCCAAGCCCTCAGCGGTGCCGGCTGGGCTCTTTGACCCGTGACCCATCCCGACCGCCTCCAGTTGCGCGGATTTTCAAGATTCTAATCTGGCCAGGTGGCTCTGCGGTTAGAGCACTTTCACTAACGAGCGGAAGGTTGCAAGTTCAAATCCCGGCTGCGGGGTCAACTGGGCCAACCATCCCCCCCGGGGTCAATCGACTCAACCGCACATTCCGATAAGCAACGGTCGTGCCGTGCGCAGGCCGGACCCTGCCACGCTAATGTGGAATGCAAACCACCGTTTCGGGTTGTTACCGCGTGCTCTTCTAACAACACGCGGAACAGCCCAAACACACGTGGAACAGCTCTTGCACTCAGCCTGTCGGGAGACGTGAACAAGCGGCATACATTCCACATTACCGTGGCAGGGTTAAGCCCGTCTTTAACACACGATAAAGATATACAGCGTGACCACACAACCCTACGTACGCAGCGCCGATGCCCAATCAATTTATTTTTCTGCCCCTGCTCTGACTTTCTTCGGATTGCACTACCGGCAGCGTCACAGATCTCGTCCGTGCGAGGAGGGGGGGGATGAGGAGGGGATGATCACGCGTTACCATCTCGTCGAGCTAAAGAGCAAGCACACGCTCCGCTCGCCGGAGACGCCCGCGGCTCCCCGCACACGCGTGTGCGGGCGGGCGGTTGTCGCGGCGGCAAGAGCGGCGAAGGCGACGGACGGCAGCCTCGGAACGCGACATCGCCAGCGCCTCTGGACCGGTGCGGTTGCTTTAATCACAGCAATTATCACAGCCTGACCTCTCGCCATTTTAAACCACTTACTCCGAGCCGCTGTATTTCACTCGTGTGTGTTTTTCTGGTAACTTTAATCATTAATTGGATTAGGGAGAGGAATATTTTTTTTCCCTCTACTTCCGAAAAAAATAAAAACACCTCCCCTCCCGCGCAGGAGCTGATAAATAGGAATCCACGCGCGCACGCACACATGCACGCACGCGAACGCACGGAAGCAGCCATCACTCATTTGCATGTGTGCCATTAACCCAACCTGTAATTGAGAGCTTTATTCTAATGAGCTGTAATCAGCACATGCCAATTGGCCTCCTGTTAGTGCAATTACATGACTACGGGCACAACTAATACGGCAACACAAGGGCATGAGGCTTTCTCTCTCCCTCTGTCTCTCTCATCTCTCTCCTCTATCTCACTCCGCCACCCTCTCGCTACACCCACCGCTCTCTCCTCGTTTCTCTCGTCAGGCCAGCTGGTACAGCATGAGGCTGCCTCTCTCTCTCTCCCTCGCTCATGTACGCCCCCCCCTCTCTCCTTCAAGCATACACTCTCACTCACTATCACCCACTGCTCTATCTCTCTCCACCACCCTCTCGCTACACCCACCGCTCTCTCCGTCTCTCTCGCCAGCCCAGCTGGTGTGGGTGTAATAATTCACCCCTTGCACAAATCAATGAATTGTCCCAAAGCAAGGTCAGGATTCAATTTAGGAATCATTCCGTTGTTTTGCCTTTCGCCATTCTCTCTGCGTGTGGAAGAAGCAATTGCGGTGGGGAAAAAAACGATGAACTCTGTCATAAATCCACTGGAGGGATGAAGGCCTCCCCATTCCATATCGTTCGTGGGGGGGGGGGGGCTTTGACCATACTTCTCCAAGGCTGGCGGGATCCAGGATCGCCAGGAATTGGACTCGGGCTGCTGGGTCCATGGACGCAGTGCGGGGATCACTGCAACACCGCTCCAGCCGCAGCAAACGAGGATTATAAACAGCTGACTGCGCCGCATGCGATGCAAGTCGATGCTTGCATCCAGACCCGTAACAAGCGATTTCCGTCGATGGATATTTACATCTCCAGCACGCACATTCACATTAACACACGTTCATCTCCTGTCTAGACACCGCTTCCAGGTCAAGACGACATGAATTTGCGGGACCTTGTCAGCGAGCGTGTACGTGTGTGGCTGAGTGTCTAGATGTGTGGGGAGCGGTAGGGTAGCGGTCAGCGGTCAGCGTGTAGCGCTACGAACCCGGCGATCAGAGTTCGATTCCCGCTCACGGCCACCACCAGTGACGATTATCTGAACCGGTCCTGGGCTTCCCCTAGGTCTACTCAGCCTCAAATGAGTACTTAGTGCAGTGTGTCAACATCGGCACTCGGGAGACAAAGGCGGCGGGGCGTGGTGCTGGCCACCCACCCCCTCTGCGTGCCGTGCCGGCCTTCATATGTGCTACTCGTGAACAGCACTTGCCCCTACAGTCTGTTAAGGCTATACGGGGGATCTTTGTCTCCGTGCGTATATGCGTATACGTGTGCACATGTAGTTAATGAGAAAACGTCAACCCCCAAAGCCAGTGAAGAAATACCGGTTCACAAACTGCTATTAAAGTCTCGGATGAAAACAATGCCTCCGTTAATTAAACGTTGAAAATCGCATCGTTTACGTCGTTGTTAACACCGCGACACGGACAAGAAAACCGCACTCCGCCCGCGAATCAATTTGCCGAGCGAGCGGTCGGCGGGTTTGATAATGAGACAGCCAGCTCGCGCCGAACACCCACACGGCCGCCACGCAGCCCGTTGGCCATCGCGGCAGCTGCACGGCGGACAGGATACCAGCTACGGACAGGGTACCAGCTACGGACAGGGTACCAGCTACGGACAGGGTACCAGCTACGGACAGGGTACCAGCTACGGACAGGGTTCCAGCTACGGACAGGGTTCCAGCTACGGACAGCGCCCGCCGGCACCGCCCAAGCAAGCCTGACAAACGGCCAGGCGTAGGCAGACAGGCAGGCGGACAGACACCCGGACGTCGCGCGCGTGCACGCGCGCGCAGACCGACTGCCGCGGGGGGCCGGTGATTAAAATTGATGTCGGGACGATGTGTCGCCATAACAATGTGGCATTCCGCGGTCTCGAGCGGACAAACGACGGCTGTTGCGGTTGCGCGTTTTGGAATCCGATCGCGCGGAGGAGAGGTTGGGTTCTGCTGCTCGATCACGCCAATCGTGGGACCGCTCTCGAACGGCACGGCTCAGGAGTTTTAAATAAACCCCCACCCAGCACCCCCAAGCAATGCTACCCTGACGGCGCTACCGGCGCCAAGTCGGTATCTCTCGCAGGGCAATGCAATTGCCCCGTGTGATTTTCGCGCACGAGCGGACATCACAGAGACACCTTCCAGATCCCTGCAATTGACCCCTGGCTCCCGTACAAATGGGGCAGCACCGCTTTCCCACCCACCCTGCTAACACGTGAACCCCGAAACATAAATACGTTTTCTAATCTCAACCAAATTTGTTAATTTTTTTTCCTTTTCTTTGCCCAGTCATTGGTGACCTCGGCTGAGACCATCACTACACTTGAGAACCCGGTTTAATCACCGGCGCCTGCCCGAATGCCAACCCAGATTATCGGACGCCTCAGGACTGCAGGGTTGTTACGGTGGCCCGGGAGCGGATATCCTCGGTTCGAATCTGG